ATCTGCTGAAGCTGTAAGGCTAAAAGCCTGACAATTTTAACAGGGTGGAATGGAGATAAGGAGTTCTCCTGAAGGGTCTTTGATTTTGGAGCTGACCTTCCCTCTCTATTAGTCCTCCCCATAGCACAGACTATCTTATCTTCAAAACATAGTCAAACACTTCTCTTCCTAGCTTTTTGGCAGTGGCAATTAACCAGATTTCTAAGATTTTTCTCTGGTGGTAATGTGGATCATATTACTAAGCTGAACATCCTTATTAATAATGGTTTACAATACTTATGTGTCCAGATGGACACATTATAAGTACAAAAAAATAATTGCAAATTGTAAATATAAATGGCATGCAGATTTTCCTCTTTGTTTTGCTTTTATATCTACATATTCTACTCCATCAAAATACTGGACTGAAATATTGTAGAATAGTTTACTTAAGATCAGTATAGTGCATCACATCTTTCCTTTTCAGAATCCTTTAGCTTGGTTTTCATATTTCTTGCACTATTTTTAGAAAAATGGTGACGTGTCTTGTCTTTCCCCTGCCTTAGTTACCCTTGGTCTTCTCTCTTTTCCTTTAACTTGACAAACCATAAAGCTGTAAGGGACCTCTAACGGTGAAGGCACCCAAACACTGGGTCTTGAAGTGTGTTTTTCCAGAAATCACTTTTCTTACTACTCTGCTTGTTATGATGATAATAGAAACTATTTCGAGAGTTTGAATTTGGGCTGTTACCAGACTTCTCTGCTTTGGCCTGACTGGGTTATCCTTGCCAGTTATAATTTTGTGTAGATTGGGAATCTGTTATTCATCCTGTTCACAAATGATAAAAAGACTAGATGAGCAGCTTCTAAACAGCACTTACTTCAGCTGGGTCTTTACTCTGTGGGGAACACAAATGGCGACTAAGGTTGAGATAATATTAATAGTGTGGAGGACTCTCATTGATTCAGCAAGGTTGGAGAGCCCTTCTGTTGGACCGGACTCTGTTTCCTGAAGAGTCCTTAGCTGTAGGGATGCTGGGGTCAGCAAGTTAGTCTGTCCAAAGAAATCAATTTGTAGCAAATTAAATTTGAAATTATGGCGCAATGGAAACCCAGCCCTAACTAGTTATTCAGTATTTTTTAAATAAAGGTAGCCTCCTTTGCTTTCAGTGCAAAATAATGTATCTTGTGGGAAGAAACCCTCAGCACATGCTAAGAGTGTTTGCACACAGAGCTAGTAGAAGCCTAACTTCCCGCTGCATAAAGACACCGTGCATCTTCAGCCTCCTCTTCAAACCCTTCCACTGGAAGAGAAGGTCTCTAAGGAACCCCGTGCGGGTCACTTCGCGAAGTTTCTTTAAACTCTCTCCATCTTTTATAGGGGTTATTGAGACTATTACATAGCATTGATATAATCTAAAACAAGCTGGGTAATATGCCTAATTCTCTACTGGCTTGAATCCTGCGTAGTCATTGACACCTCCACAAAGAGAGTGCCACTTAAGAATGCTCCACTTTCCTAGAACAGTGATAGGGTTTTGCAATCGCTTGTACTCTTTGCATAAAATTAAACAAGTGAACATTGTGCAAAGCAGGAGAAAGTCACCGTTCATTTTTTAATTTTTTTTTTCTCTTGCTGCTGTGTGAAAGAGAGAGTCAGTGGGCCAAAATCTAGACTTAATTTCCCCACTTAAATATTGGGATCATTGTGCTTATGTAATTGCAATACAGGTTAGGATTTAACTCTGTTCTTCTTACAAATGACCATCCAAATCAGGATATAAACAGTTCACATAAGCAGAATCACTTGTAATGATAGTTTAAATTTAAAATTATGTCCTTCATACAGCAGCTAAAAGTACAGTTAGTGATTTTCCTGACCATTTTATTTCACTTTTGATAATTTCTTTATCTTCATTTAAAACAGCTCATGTTTATTTGGATATAGCAAACTAGGATCAGTTTTGGATATAGCAAACTTGGATATGGATCAGTTCCATATCCAAGAAGTAAATCATTCCATCTTTGAAAAGTCATTTATGGGCTACTTCTATGATTTCTGGCCACTGAACAATATCCACTAATGTGAGCAGTTGTAGTCCTATTAAAAATATGACAGTATAGCTTAGCAGGATTGGGCCTGTAGTTCACTAGGAGCAACAAATCTTGCTGTATTCATCTTCTGAGGTCATTTGGAGGTATGATATTTGAATTTCCTTTCATGAGGGTATGGAACAGACTAGGGAAGCACTGGTTCTTACTGTTTTGATGGCTGCTTAAGGTGGGAAGGCAATGGGAGCTTCATCTGAACTTTCCCCTCCTGGGCTGCTATTAGCTTTTTAAAACTGGGATATTAGCAACCTCTCTAAAAGGTCTAAACCCTGATGCAGCAAGTAGGTGACTCCTGCTGAGGATGCTCGCAAACAGGAGAGCGTGTATATGCAGACAAACAGGGATTTGTCCATACGGCGAGTGAACTGGTGCTTCTGTGGTGGGAAAGGATGGTGCAGAACGGAAGTTTTATAGCTCCACGCATCCTGTGCATACACACATAGCTTTTACATAAAGAGACAAAGATATCTTTATCCGCACGACAGATAGACAAACAGACTGACTGACTTCAAACTTGCACTTTCAGTAGGGATTTTTTTCCCCCCATCTCCGGGTACTGCTTTTCAAAATTGCCTGAGGCTACAGTACAGCACCTCAGATCCCCAAGGCCCATTGCCTGGCTCCTAATAGCCACTCTCCATCTGTGTCACATGAACAGCTGATGAGATAGCTCCAGTGTCTGTATTTTGGAGAGCATATCCACCCAGGTTAAAATGCTGGGGTTGCCAAGGAGCAGTCAGAAGCCATTAGTGTTTGTGAGAATTTGCCTTGCAGCAGTTCCTTGGCATAGTGGAAAGTGTGTGTGTGTGTGTGTGTGTGTGCGCGCGTGCGTGTGTGTGTGTGTGTGCGAGAGAGAGAGAGGGGTAGGGGAGAATATGTGGGGGGGAGGGGGCAATGGAAAGGAGCACTTTCTAAATAACCAACCTCTTGCAAAAGGTGTGTGTGTGTGTGTGTGTGTGTGTGCGCGCGCGTGTGTGTGTGTGTGTGCGAGAGAGAGAGAGGGGTAGGGTAGAATATGTGGGGGGGAGGGGGCAATGGAAAGGAGCACTTTCTAAATAACCAACCTCTTGCAAAAGTGAACAATTGCTTACAGTGTATAGGGCTTCCATAAGCTCTTCGATTAGCTTGCTGTGGTTTGAGTCTCCTTTCTCTGTTGTTAACAGAAACAAACCAAAAAAAAAAAAAAAGCATGAGAGAGAGAGCAGTGACTTCGGGGTCTTGCTCTGGTGTTTGGGCAGATGGAAAGGAGCTGCTCTGCCTTGGGGCAGGGTGGTTGTAATGAAGTGGCCTGTCAGTCTGTAAATAGTGAGGGTCATCTCTTCCATGTGATGGAGGGTATCACATTGCAGTGAAAATGGAAATGTCAATAAAATTAATCTGCCAGCTCTTTGCTGTGGCTTTTTCGTCTCTCCGGTCCAAAAGGGTTGGTTTTGCAGAGGGGAGGCATGTAGAAGAAGGGTGATCTGGCACGGGAGGGAAGATGGAGCTGAAATGCAAGTTTTGAAGCAAATGGACTGTATGTAGCAGCAACGTATTTCGTTTAGCAGCACTACCGAGCTAGACAAGGCTATAGGAATTAGCTCGTGAATCTATAGCATTCCTCAGGAAGCTATGGAGCGTCTAGCTCAGGCTACATTGAGCACAGAGTTTATTGTTTTAGGCTTTCTTGGACAAGGTTTTTACTTAGCATGGGATTTATGGCATTTACTGCTAATGAATGTCTATTCTTAAATTACAAAAACCACCGTCTCAGCACAATTCCCAGATGTCCTTCCAGGACCTCGGCTTCTTAAACACCAGCAGGGAGCATAAACTCTCCACTTCTCTGTTTTCCTCTTTCGTGTGGCTCCGGGCTAATGATGTGTAAGGAAAACACAGCAATCTATAAAGTCTCAGTGCTGTCCCAGTATTCTTCATTTATTTTGCATTTGATTATGCCACAAGTCGGATCTTGTTTCTTTCCTTTTTTTAAAGTTATTAGTTCAAATATTAATGTAGGAATATGGCATATATTGCTGCTCTTGATTGATGCCTTCCCAAAAACAGGAAGACGTGCTCGTATGAATTTTAAGAAAGTAGGGGTCCTGCAATGCCTTGCCAGAAGAGTTTTTCAGATACATAATTTAGATGCCCTCCAGGCAGGCTTTCAAGGCATTTTTGCTGGAGGGCAAGAAAAAATAACTATGACTGTTAAAAGTAAATGATTTTTGCTAATGCACAATTAATGCCAGGGAAAAGCACAGAAGAGAAAGATGTTGATGGAAAGTTCTGATTAAGTGAGAGCTCTACCTTGATGTGCATCTTTTTTTTTTTAATGATAATAATCACTGATGCAGAGATGTGGAAGTTTTCATGTCATGCAAATGCTGTATGCGGGGTCATACTAGGTGTACGTGTTTGTGCGTGCGTATGGATGTGCGTTGGGAGGTGATGGTTGCGGGGAGGGGCTCGTCTGACAGTGTGTTATGTGCACTGAACAGTGACACGGTTACTGCCACCTTGCAGAGGGCCTCGAATATATAGACTACAGAACATTTAACTTGATTACTTATAGTACGTATTCAGAATGGTTGTAGGGATGCATTTATAGTGAATGGGTTTTCTTGTGGCAGGTTTTCCCACATTGAATCCTGTAATTGACAAAGAGCTATTGCACTATGTCAAGCACACAATTATAATTGAATTAATGATATATGCATGTGTGAGATGCAAAATTAGTATTTGAGGAGACATGGTTTCTAATTTTTACATATTTGTAACAGCACTCATATGTAATGAGAAACTGTATGTGCCTGATCTAGCAAATCAAAATAAAACTGTGGCAGTGTCTTGGTAATTTATGATAGTTTTTCGTTTCTATACTTTGTTCATTAAATGTCTCCTCCTTCCTGTTCTTCTCTTTGTTGTAGGAGACGGTTTAGACAACAGTGTAGCCTCACCTGGTACAGGGGATGACGATGACCCAGACAAGGACAAAAAGCGTCAGAAGAAAAGAGGCATTTTCCCCAAAGTAGCAACAAATATCATGAGAGCGTGGCTTTTCCAGCATCTCACAGTAAGTGGTGCCCAAAACCAAAATAGATTTCTATTCATGTGCCTAACGAGGTTTATTCATTGTTATTAGAAATCAATTGTCCCCATAATTTTTGGACAATTATTAGGGCTCAATTATTGTTGCTTTTTTTTTTTGTCTTCTAGATTATTTTTTTTTCTTGGCTCTTGGAATCATGACAAATCTAAAAGAAACCTATATATATACACATATATATGCGTATACATGCCAAGGGAGAGAGAATACAAAGCCTTAGCCTAGAACAACACCCACATATAAAGTAACAATTTTTTGCTTTGAACTATTCAAAATGTTCCTAAGGCCAAAAATGGGGGGTTCTTGGTTTAATGTATATAAAGCTCTGCTTTCTGGATTCTTTATGGCTGGCCTCTGTTTACACAAACTTCATATGTAAGTGATGGAAGACAGAGCCCCAGTCTGTGTATGCTGACATATGCTGTGGGATGTTAGAGAGGTCAAAGCAGCACCTTGCAAACTTGTATGTTACCTTTCGTGAAACCTGTAGAAAGCTTAGAGGTTCCCTAATTCTCCAGTTGCATAACTGTCAGAAAAAGCACCTATTTAGTTTCTCTTCGAGTCCATTATGTTAAAAGCTAGCCATATTCGTATTTGGGGAAGAGAGATTAAATACCAAAAAAACCAATTCTTTCCATGGGCTATCTTTATCCCTCCTGCTTGCAATTGGTTTCATGTGTTGGTGTTCTGTTGAGTATTAGGGCTTCACTTAGGCATCAAAACACGGTTCCACAGAAAACCTAGTAGCACACTCTGTAGTTTACTTCATGTGGGAAATAATGGAAACTGGTAAAATTATCAATTGATTTTCCTCTTCCTCTCACTGTAAAATTGTTTCTCACTTGATAAGGCTTAAAATGCTAACTGTTATTAACTACCTCTCCTTCTACCAAAGTTTTATAAATTTCCATGGTGGCTGATGTTGGTTACAGTGTAATGATTTCAGGACAATGTGCCCGATTTATTTATGATGGGGACTATCGAACTGCTCTGCTAGCAGCACAGCTAAAGGGGGGAGCGATAGATCCACATTTCTAAACCATCATTTTGATGTAAGGACATTAGTAGCAAACTAAGGTGCATTGATCTGGCCTGTGGGGTCAGGATTAGCTGGAATAGCCAGTGTCTCTGCTGGAGTAGTGGTTATTCCTGCCTCCCAGCTATGGCCATTTCAAAGGTCAGGTGCCCTGTACCCACTTGGCTCAGAGGAATTAGACAGAACATGAGTCTCTGGGCTGATTACTTAACCAAAGACAAAATAATGAGTCCTAAGCAAATACTGACTAATTGAAAGGGCTGTAAATCCATTACATATTGGTCAGGGATAATCAGGAGTATTTAATCACTTTTATCTATTCAGGAGCACTGAAGCTGCAACAGCAAAGCCCTGAACCTTGCCATGTGCTTATTATTCTCATCATTATCAAAATTACTTCACAGCTGTTCTTTGCTACATCACCTCAGCTGGAGATTTACTAACCTGTAAAATGTTTTTAATTTGGAAGTCGAGTGAGTGTGAGTGGAGGGTTTTTCATTTAGCTGTAGGGTATCTTTAGAGGAGTAGTACAGGCAGACAGCAAAAAGCAGGACCACAAATAAGCCAGTTGGTTTTGTACATGTCTCCGTGTTAACTCCACTTCCTCTTACAAAATTTGTGATATCTTGCTTTTTTTATTTTTCTCCCTGCCTGGTTTTCTCATGTGCTCCTTGAAAGCATTCGACACATGCTTATTAAACAATCAGCTGCCTCTCACTTCTCTTGAGGAAAGTCCTCACGGCTTTTTGAAATCCCTTTTCCTTGTTTCCATCCTCTCTCTCCTGACGCTCTCCATCCTGCACGAATTGAGGAAATTTGCCATCACTGGTGAGGATGGCCTTGCAAAAATCAAATTAAATGAACACAAAAAAGCCCCAAACCTTTTACCGTCCAAGCTTTAATGAGTTTGCAGGTGTTGAAAGATTTACTGTGCTGTAATTCTCAGACCTGCAAACTGATAATGGAGACCCCTGACCAGTGCAATGTAAATTCAGAAAGATTCTTGCCATAAACACATGCAGGGAAGGAAGAGAACTCCTTTCTTTTAAAGATCTTGCACTTTTCCTCAAATTAGCTTATCCATTCAAAGTGCAACGCTGGCTGAGCCAGAACAGGGGAATCTGTGATGCACAATTTTATCGTTTCAAGTAAATATCTTTACAATGGCGGTCCATGATTCAATGTACATTCCTTCATTACTACTCTAACCTTAGTTCAAATTGGTTTGTTCCTCCTTTGTGCTGTATGACCTGTTCTTGTATTACAATAATCCCCTGATGTACTCTTTTTTCTTTCTCTCTCTTTTTTTTTTTTTTTTTAAAGAAACTAATTGAATTATCTCATTATTTTAATTTGTTAAGCAAATGTATTTTACATCTCAGGATGTGTTCTTAAAGAAGGAGCTGCTTAGGCTTTGCCCCCTGAATGGGCCATTGGTACATTTTGACATTCATGCATTCATTAAGGAGAGGAACATAAAAGAGCTCTGGTTGTATTTTTTTTTCAAACACCCAACCAGCATGGAGCAACTTTTCCATAAGCCACAGGGGTCTCTCTACATATGTTCTCAACTGCAAGCCATTGTCACCTATTCTGAATACCTCAAAAGGACAAATAAAATACTAAAGGCCAACTGTAGCAATTGTTAGCTGTTAGTCTCAATATGACAAAAATCATTAACCTCTGGTTTCCCTGGAAGGAAAGGCAGTGGCAGTCCATCTCTTATGGTGTGGATTAAACTTGAAATTCCTTTAGACTGTCACATTCAAAAAGAGTAACTCTGTTCTGACTAATTGTATTAACTTATGATTTTAAATAACATGTTGGTTTTTTCTTTTTTTCCTTTATTCAATCGGTTTGCAAAGTCCTAAGGTAGCTGATTTTAAAAATTGAATTCCTAAGTGACTTTCTTGAAGAGATAGGCACTTGAACTCTGATGTAGAATGTATGTATCTGACAGGCTGTGTCTTTCAAAACAATTTCTAACCCCAATCACAGCTTCCATTTTACAGTAACTTTAATTATATTTGAAATAGGATACACATGCATGTTTTTATTGTTGGAAATCAAAAGCAAGGAGTAGGAGCTTCTGTCGTGTTCTCCTTCGCTTACTGAGCTCTGTCTTATATTTGGAATTACAGCAGTACCGGAAGATGAAAGGGCTGAGGATGAATTGGTTGGAAATGTGTATGCTTTTTCTGGATAATATCCAGTGTTTAAGAAAGTAGAGGAAATCCTAGTCTAGTAGTATAAGCTTTTCAATAGTACATAAAGATTACGACATCAGAAAGGTAAACCTGACATTAAGGCTGTTTTTATTTGAGTTCAAAGGTGGTTAAAGAAAAGAAACAGCAAGAAATCTGACCCAAGCAGAGAGTTTATTCATAGCTTTGGAAGACTCTTTTTCCTCTATGCCAAGGAGTCCTTAGTATACTCAATTAGCCTCTCAGACATCTCTGCTTTCCTCCCTCAAGTGCTCCCCTATTTGCCCTGCAAAGAACGTATTTGATCACGAAGCGAAAACAGGAAGTGCTCAAATGTATAGACACCTCTAGCTTACACCAATGTTGAGATTAGGATTTCTTACCAGCAACTACATAGAGCCAGCCCCCCTCTTCCCATGCCCTTTTGAAGGATGGAGGACCTTTAAAATGTACGTACATAATCAGAAGAGAGCAAAGTTATAAAGGAAGTAATTATACCGTTCTATGGACTTGTACCTCTGGTAGTTCATCCTTTTCTGCAGCATAGTATATCAAGGACTACGCTTCTGCTACATTCAACATTTTTTTCCCCTTCTTTTACAAAGCTGGTAGAGCAGAGGCATGTTTATTCTTTGACACTTACTTACCTGGAGTGATGCCCTTTGTTGAAATTCTGGTTTGGTTGTTTCTTTTGTGCAGTCTGTAAGAAGATCTATATCTTAACTAAAAGTACCAGATATACCAATGGCAGCATGCAAACTAAACCTTTTTTATGACAGTGCCAGATTCCCAACTGATGGTATTTGGGATGGCCCCCCTGAAGTCAGTGGAGTTGAACTGCCTTTTTTTTTTTCTCCCCTGCTTCTTTTGCTAGCTGAAGTTCTGTCTCATAACATTTGTTTGAACTGTGTCATTTTAGCCTGATTTCCACAATCTTCTGGCTTAAAATCTTGCTCTTTACACAGTCTCTGGTAGAGTAGATTTTGGTTTCATCTGTTTCATTTTTAGGATAGAATAAGTTCAGCTAAAACCAGCCACAGCTTTTGTACCCACCTGAATTAATTTCTTAACTTGCAGTATTCAAGTAGCCAGATTGGGTAATGTGAATAGTCTTACTGAAACAGATTTTTTTTTTTTCTGTATTTATGTGGGTGTATCTGATAATCTAATGTATTTCTCTCATATTTTAATGAATGGCTCATCAAGCCTTTTATGCAGGGCAGCTTTTTCATCTATTCATTAGATTTGACTGTAGACACAAATGTTGTCAAGCAAAGCCAACCTTGGAGCAAGCTCTCAAAACAGTTGAAGCCATTCCACTTTCATAAGTATCTCCTCCCATATCTTGATTTTAGGTATAATACCTAAGGAAGGGTTAGGAACATAGCTGCCTATCGCACTCCACACTGAATATCTTACTTTCTTTTATCTTATCACACAGTAGAGGAACACCTTTCCTCAGAGTACTGGTCTAGGAGAAGCATTCTTCACGTTGCTGTTTTTGCTGTACTTTAAAAACAGAACTGAAAATACAACAGACCTTTATCCAGTTAAAATGGTGGCAGGAAGGTTAGGACACTCAAGAAAATACAAGAATGTGAAGGCAAACTGGTGAATTTTAGTGCTTGTGTTGGACCGCACTGTAGCATGCTGTACACTCCATTGAGGGTACATTGAGGAGATGGACGATGTCCTCTGACTCTCCTGTAAAATGACCTGCCTGTGGG